CTGAAGCAGATAGAGAATCTGACTCCTTTCACTTCCTCTTGAAGCAGACAAAGAATCTTGATTAGTTGTAGAAGTATACCTCTCTTAAACCTCCAAGGAACTAGGGACGATGACTAGAGAAGATGACTTGGATCCTTACTTGAAGTAACCTTTGTGAAACCCCTCACGAGCTCCCCCTCACAAAATAATCTCTCTCTCTCTATCTCACTTACTCTCCCTCTCCTATTAGCTCTCTCAAATTAAGACAGTAACAAAATATACAATCTTGGGTAAACAAGAGGTCTTATAAAAAAGAGCTTCATATTTGCTCTTAATTACAACAAACCAACATTATCATCAAGGATGATAGGCCGATCATCCCATATGATCAATACAAATTTTGTTCAATCAGCCAAGATGATCTGGGAGAGTCTGGATGTTTAAAGGTCTTTTTGTTCTGATCGTCAAGGATGATAAAACATCATCCTATATAATTAGTTCAAAATCATTGAGTATCGTCCAGGACATCTCCCTGATTGCATGTCTGGATGATGGAATACTAAATTAATCTTCTAGGATAATTTCATGATCGTCCCGAATGATTAGTTCAAAACATCAAATATCATTCAGAATATTATCCTAATTGCATGTTTGGATGATGAAAATATAACTGATCGTCCACGATGATATGTGATCATCCCGAATAATTAGTGCAAAACTATACACATCATCTAGAACATCTTTCTGGTCATCCAGGAAGAAACTAAGGTTTGTTTAACTTATCATCCAAGATGATCCTATGATCGACTAGGATGATATGATCATACAATCAAACCTTAATTGCTTTTCTTAATTACCAAGCTAATTTAGGACTAATTATACTGCAACATCCAAGATGATGTCCTGGATGATGTCATAGATGATTTCCAAAAATAAAACATGCCCAAATAGATCTGATGGCTAATTCTTTTTTATTAGAGCTTATCATTTATGACGATTTACTTAATTATGATAGCCTTAACCAGGATGCCTTAATTAGTATTTTTGTTTTTAACTGATCGTCCAGGATGATTTGGGATCATCCTGGATGATGAGATCAAAAATAAAAAACTTTAAAATTAGATAGAATATTTCCCTGAGTGTGTGTGCAAGTTTATTTAGCGTCACGACCCACTTTATTTATAATTGACTCAAGAAAAGGTTAAAAAAATAGTTAACAATAGTTTATAGACAAACTCAATCCTAATCTGCCCAATCTTGAACTGTCTTGATTTACAATTGGCCTTGTGAACCTGAAATATTAGTAGGCAAGGCAATTGTAGAAAAATAGAAGTGTTAGAAATATTTGTTATCATCAAAATTATAATTCTTGAATCCATATTCACAATAATGACAAGGATACGGTCTAGTTTGGCGAGTTATTTTCTTCTCTTTATTAATAATTTCATCAGCCACCACCTCCACCTGATTAGGGTTCCTCTTTCTACTAGTCTATCAATGTTTGTTTTTGTGTGTGTACTGGTTATCTTTCCTATATTATGTTTTATTTAATGTTCTTCTTATTTCCTCCTGTTTTGTGAGGTTAGAAGGGGGAGTAGTGTGTTTTGTTATTTTCTTTTATTATTAGTGGAATTTACTTTGTTATACTGCAGTTATTTTTATTTATTTTCTTTAATTAATTTTTTTTTCTTACTTGATTTGAAAATTTTAATAGCAATATGTTTCATCATCAAAAAGGGTGATATTGCTGTGAATCTGGATCAAATTACTATGATTTAGATGATAACAAATTTTATTATTTCTTTATCGCTATTGAATATCTATTTTATTTGCTCTGCTTACTAAGCTTTTAGATCCACAAAAATTACTTGTAATGTAAATTAACTCAAGATCGAGTAGATTAGGGTTAAGTCTTCTTGTAATTTCATATCAATGTATTTTTTATCTTTCTTGAGCCAAATCTTGAATATGGTGGACCCCAAGCTATGTAACATTACAAACACACATTCAGGAGGAAAAATTTGATATGTTAGAGTATTTTTCTATTTTTGACCTAATCATGCAAGACGATATGAAATCATACTAGACGATTAGCTAAAAATAGAAACTTTAATTAGGGCATCGATGCTAATTTTGGGTGATTTAATTATTCATACTAGATGATTCATATCATCCAGGTTGATCAGTTTAGATGATGAAAACCTGCCACCAATCATAATTTAGGTAATTTTTTATTTTTAAATTTTGTCCTAATTATACAAGATGATACATATTGTATAGGATGATTTATGACAATCATATCTAAATTGATTCGGTGATTAGGAGAATAATTATGGTTAAATTATTCAAACATATCATATAGAATGATCCATTTAGATCGTACTAGACGATATAGTATATTTTGTAGGATGACCCCCTATCATCCAAGACGAAAACCATAATTCTCTTTTAATCATCTAGGAGTATCATACTGGACATCCCGAGATGTTTTTAGGATGATATGTGGATCACCACCCATCATCACATGTCATACTAGATGATTGAAATAGTATATTGAACTAATCATCCTAGACGATCATAAGATCATACTGGACAATCTGTACAAATATTTGTATTAATCATACAGAGTAAAAGTGATCATCCTGGATGAAAAGGCTATTTTGTATTAATCATACAGTATGGTCTGTTGATTGTCCTAGATGATCAGTTACGCAGAATTAAAAATTAGGGCTTCTTTTGGAGGTTCTTTATTTAAGCAATTGTATTAACCATTGAGTTAATCTTTTGTTGTGGAGTTGATCTAAGAGTGAGCTTAGGGAAGGAAGAGGGAGAGCTTGAGAGAGAGAGAGGGAGAGATCCTAGTGAGGGGAAGTTTATAAAGGAATCACAAAGGTTTCTCCAAGCAAGGTGTTCGTTGTCTTGTTCAATTTGCTCCACTGGTTCCTTGGTAGCTCTGGCGAGAACGTCTTCAGCATTAGATCCAGGTACTCTACCTACTACACAACGGAGTAAAATGATTCCCGGGTTTTCTGCTTTCACTAGGTGGGTGAAAAAGGATTTCGAGATTCTTTGCCTACTCTAGGATGGAGTAAAAGGATTCAAGGTTCTTTTCCTCACCGTGTCGGTGGAAAGATTTTTTAAGGGCTTCTCTGCCTTGTTATGGGAGTAAAAGGAGTCGCTTCAGTTTAGTGTAATACTTGGAGATGGAGTCTCCAAGTAGTGGACATATGTCAGATTTGACCAAACCACTATAAAATTCTGTGTGTTATTTCTTATTACTTTCACCACATTTTATTTTTGCACTTTTCTGTAATTTATTCTATGATTGAAAAATCTGATTGTATAGTTATCGTGAAAATTGTTTCTCTTTCGCATCAAGAGTTATTGTTTTGCTTTCAAATATTTAAAAAGATAAAAAAAAAATTTCTTTTTGTTTAAGATTTTTTAAAACGACCAATTCACCCCTTCCCCTCTTGGTTAACCTAGGGCTAGTTCTTTAGGGTTTAACACCCCTCACAAACTTTCATAAGCAGTATAACTCTCTCCAATCTCCAACAAAAAGCCCCCCTCATATAAAGAGTGGAGGTCTATTTAAATATTTTCATGAGTAACATACCCTGTAATATAGAGAAGATCCATGGCAAGTTCGGAGTGCTCCATCGGATGGCCCATATTGATTCCCCGATCATAGGGTATGCTTTAAGTGTTTACATGCCTTAACATTGTCAGAATTAAGCGATCTTGAGCTCGTTGCATTCATTTCGTCGAGCCACTCAATTCGATTATAAGCAAGTCATATTTGGATATCATTTGATCATCCAATTAATACTTTAAAACTTCCAAAAGTGGTTTGATTACTTGATTTAGGCCCATTTGGGTTTGGAGTGTGCCGGTTTTAGTGTGGTTTGGTTCATCTCCATGTGATGTTCAATTTGACTAATTTCATTGAAATCGAAATTTGAATGATCCCAAATTTAATTTTAAAAGTTTTGAACTTTCATGTCTCGAGATTCACACCTGATTGGTGATGTATCATTTATAAAAAAACCAAATTAATTAGCATTGTGCTTACGAATATATTGCTCTCATTTTGCATAGATTAATCATATTCACCATACGTTATGCGATTAGATTTATGCTTTTGATTCACAAAACAGTTGCACAATTTTATCAGAGTCCGTCGGTACAATTTTGTCACAACTCAGTTATCCAAATAATTACCACAAAACTATTGAGCTTCAAATTTTAATTACTTTTTAGATACTTAGAAAGTGAAAAATATTTTTTATGCAATCAAAATTATTAAGCTATAACCATGCAAAAATTCATTCAACAGCTTGAAAAATTATATGCTACTAATATTTCTGCAATTACTATAGCTATAATCACCTATAGGAACCCTTAGCGCACGACACAATCATTATATTATAACTCATCAGTAATATTGTAACCTACTATGATACCAAGTTGATCTTAAGATTACCGTATTACTATAAACCTAAGTTTCGTTTCAGACAAATTTTTATTGCTTTTTAAAAGAATTTTTTAATATTGAATTGAATTTTTTAATATTAAATTTCTAACTAAAAAAATTTAAAATTATTTTATAAAATAATACAAAAAATATCCCAACCAAAATCTTAATTTGATCTTGAACCCAATGCTAGGCAAGAAATTGGAAAAATCTGCTTTGGTCCTATCTTTAGTATCGTTCAATAGAAAACATTGGGTTCAGAAAAAAAAAAAAAAATCCTATCTTTAGTATCGTTCAATAGAAAACATTGGGTTCAGAAAAAAAAAAAAAAACATATTTCTTGAAATAAAATTCTCAAATATAATAACTTGTATAACATATATGAAAAATACGTAAATAAAATCATTATTATATTAAAAATATGTTTTATTTACAGACAACCAAATGTGACCTCAGAATATTAAAAAAAAAAACATCTAGATCTTTCCTAGGAGGGCAATGCCATCAACATTCGCCTTTTGAGAGAGCTCCTGTATCCAACGCAGTCTTGATAAAAACACTGAACTTTGCATTTCAAGACAAGGAGCTTACAGCCTTAACACATTTACAATAACTATTACGTCATATCAGTGCAGGACAAAATTAGAAATTTACAACTTTGACCTCTGATTAGATAAGATAATTCGACTGCCATAATACTAGGTTTTTTTGCATTTATTCTACTCGTAAATTGTAATTGTAAAGGTATTATTCTAATTCACTTTCTGAAACAACCTCCTCGGGCAGTTCAAACGAATCAACTTCGGCAAAATAGGCTCTCTGTTTCTGAATGAAATCCTGAAGAGGAATATCTTTGTCAACAAGCCTGCTTCCAGCTGATCCCAGGCAACGTTGCCTCTGTAGATTTCAAGCAAATCCAAATGATTAAACTATATCGAAGTTTGCGGGAAACTTATTGAAGATGTGTGGAGCCTATTTTTTCATCTCTCAAATACTAGTTTGATTTCAAAATTATTTTAAGTTAATGAAAGTCTTAAATAAAATTTGGACTAAATATGCTTTTTTTTTTCAAATTTGATGGCTACCAAACTTAAAAACATACTCAATATTGTATCTTTTACACCTACCACCACATTTTACTATATAAAAGAAAAAATATCAATAATTTCAAGGCACCACTCAGGATTCATTTTGGACAATTTTCTTTCTGCTTCTTAAAACAGTTTTTAAGTGCAAAAATTTTAAAAATCCATCCCAAACAAAGCCTCATTCTTCTCCTGCAATCAGTTAGGCATATAGACGTAGACCAGAGAAGTCAAGTGATCAAACCTAGTAATTACCTTAGCCGATATCATATAGAAGAATTTATCTATAGGGTGGTAGGCAATGACCACTAAAACATTCGGAGGTGGAAGTTGAAAGCCAAAAGCCTTCTCAAGAGAAAATTGATGACCATCACAAAGGATGATAACTAAAAAAAATGATCTAACATAGAAGGTTGCAATCTTTCCTCTATCTTTGATGAGAATAACTAGTTGAAGAATCATGCTCAAATATAGAGAGAGAATAATAGAGATAGAGGAAGAGTAGTAATGAGATAATAAGAAGGAAAATATTTATAACACATATTTATCTCGAATTCATTGCCAATCGAAAATGCAATTTATGAAGACAATGAATTATGCTAGAGAGACTTTATCGCTAAAAGAGACTCAAACAGGTTTGAAATTCAAGGAAAATGAAACCAAGATTAAGAGAGAATCAAAGGATCTCCAAGCCTAAATATTAGAGGTAGGCCAAAAAAGAATAAAAGATTAAACGGGGGTTCAAGTCAATGCTCAAATCTAAGATTAAGTTCTAGTGTTTCCTCTATCATAAGGAAAGGAACCTCTAGAAAAACTATCTAGAACTGAAGAAGGATAAGAGAAAAGCACAAGAATTTAAGGATGTTGTGATAACATCAGACATATATATATTTATTCAAAGATTTTACAAATTACAGTAAATTCTAATAGTGATGATTGGATAATTGATCCAAGTTGTTTGTTTCATATGACTCTTATTAGTCTATGGTTTGATTCAAATATGACCGTTAGTGGTGGGAAGGTTATCATGGGAAATGATATAGCTTATAAAGCCGTAAGGATTTGAACTGTTATAATTAAGACAGATAACGGACATACTAAAACTCTTACTAAAATCAGGTATGCATTGAACCATAAAAGAAACTTGTTGTCTCTCGGGACACTTGCGCACTAGTTTGCACCATCAAGGCTGAAATCGGTGTACTAAAATTTATCAGATATTTGATTGTAATTATGAGGGCAATAGACAGAATGATTCCTATTCACTATTAATCTACAATTGGCATCCAAACAAAATTGCATCTTAAATAAAAGAGCAGTAAGAACAGATAAATTTCAAACCAGCATACTTAATATTGCATCGTTTTAGAATTTTCTGCCTGCATATCATCATCAGTTATGATGGCTTCTTGAAACGACAACGACTGTAATTGGAATGATTTGTAGGACCAAAACCCGACTTGATATGATTATTGGATTAAGATTTGGATCTGATTCATCAAATAAAGTGAGATAAATAAAGAGGTGAGATGAAATGAGATTGCTTTAGAAGACCAGAAAAAGATGAGTTCTGTCCCAGAACAACATAGTTCAGCGATCAAATAGAAACTATATAATCTGGAAGCTCGCTAATGTAGGACAAAACAAACCCAACGTTCTTGAAAGCTCTCCTCTATTATAGTGGAAAAAAAAAACTCTCTCTGAATTGAGAGAAATTATTAGCTGCAAACGAACTTAATGGTAATACTGCAGTACACAACCATATACACCTTTTTTTTTTTCCCTCAAAAAAGCTTCCTAAAAAGCTCCCGTGGATCATGCGTGCGTGCGGCGCTTCCGCCCAGGCGAAATCGGTCGCCTGTTTTGCGACTCAGCCGGGTCCCGTGCGGACCGGCTGGACTGGTCCACTGGACCGGTCTAACACGGTCCTCTTTGGATCGGTCTAACAGTTACCTCAGTTATTACTCCGTATACTTATAGATTAACAGTTGAGGAAGTAGCAAACGACTCAAGGGAAGAACATAGTTTGAAACCAGAGAAATACAGTAGGCATAGATCTTGTGCGAAAGTCACACACAAATATCTTCGTTTTTGCATTTACAAGTAACAAAATTTAACAAAGATGATCGATGGCTAGGATAGAAAAAACATCAGCTCATACATTTGTATTGCATCAACCAATATAGAAACATATTAATTTACCTATTTTAAATTTTGTGGAAGTCTTGAATAATGAAAAAAAAAAATACTTTAATTATCTGCAGGAATAATAAAGAAGTTCTCTATAATTTGATGTGTTTCAATGACTAGGTCTGTATGGAGTAACAAGTAGAATATGATGCTTTAACACAGCTGCCTGGCATCACGAGAAATGACTATGCCTAAATCAACAAGTTTGGGAAGGACCGAAAGCTAAAATGAATTTAATGTTAAGTTCAGTCAACAAATGTAGTACAGCTCACCAAGAGAAGATAGATAGTGTAAAGTTAAATATGTACAATTCCACAAAGCATCAGGTTCATTTACAGTCATATAGAAAAGGAGGGAACATACCTTTTTCTTTTTCTGATAAGGTTCTGAATATGCCTCATTCTGATTCATGCCAACCTTCATCAGTAATTTTTTCCTGGTTTAAAAGCATGTTGTACATAATACTCTTCATTATAAGGGCTTTTCTAATTAGAAAAAAAAAAAAAAGAGAATAGAGGTTCTAGCCGGCAGAAAATATAGAAACATTTCACCAAGTAATAATCCAATTCGGGTGAATATGCCCATCTTCTCTTCACTGATAACAGACAAAAAGGCGAAGTTCGGTGATAATCACACTAAGTAATATATATTCTTAACCTTAGAAGGAAAAGGAAATTCAACAACATATCAAATTTTATCTAATAATTAACATTGTCGTAAAAGGCGAGAAGGGAGCTAACAAGGGATTCAGGCAAGGCCAAGGCATAGCACATTACATGTCCTAGCAAGTGCTATTATTAAGATGTACTTAGATGAGCACCTTGCCTTAAGGAGTGTCTCTCATATGTTTTATGATTAGTTTATTAATAATTTAATAATAAAAATACTTTATGACCTCAGTCATCTAATGGTTTGTTAGTTTCCAAGGTTTATTGCTCAAGTGCTTAGATGATTTGTTTATAAAGATCAAGTAATTGATTAATCTAAGATTTCAAAGATAACTCTAATTAACTTAATTTACTATTTTCTATTTATAAAGAAATTATTTTTTATGTATAAATGATTGAGAAGTAAAAAGAAAGTATATTATACATAAACATTCCATACAAGCAATCTGCTGACATTAAAGCTTTCTGCCAAGTTGATGGGCCTCAGGCACCATCCTTACAGGGCCTCATGGACTTTGGCAGGTAAAGTTTCATTACCAGGTAATAGATCTTCGGCTTATAGCAACCAGGCAAGATTTAAACACACTTGCTGGCTATATATATAGCATGATTAAGAGAGTTTTGGTTTTGCAAAAACAAGCAAACGAGGGATTGTGAGAGAAATCCTAATCAAGCAAGCTTAGGCATGAGGCCAAACACAGTCCCGTTTTGGCTAAAAAAAATATAAAAATCATTATTAGATTAATTTTGTTGCAATCCGAAACTCCGAACTTGTGATGTTGATGATAACAAACATTATTGACTGAATTTTCATTTCTCCTATTATTATATATTGCATATATGTTTTTATGTACTTACATTTCAGGCACATCATACACCGTGCAAGAAAATTCAATGCTCAAGTTTTGGAAGAATAGGATGACAGAGTTTGTAACCTTTATTTCTTTTATTTTTAAAATTCTTGAGTCATAGTTCTACAAAAAGTGTATGCTATGTTGGTGACCGTGCACACACAAAGGGGAGCTAGAAAACATTTTTGAAATTTTCAACTAATCGTACTGTACGATCACGATCCAAATTGTATTGTACGATCAGACGCTTTTGCAATGACTTAAAATGGCTAATTTTTTAATTAATTTTCTTTGAACTAATCGTACTAGACAAACCAAATCATATTGTACGATCTATTCAAAACAGAAATTCTAGTTGCCAATTAAAATTAACTATAAGTTTTTTTAATATATATCTTTGAACTTATCATATTGTACAATCCCATTCGTACAATACAATATTTGAAAACGTATTTTATTAAATCCCCATGATTATTCAATCAAATCAAAGGTTAATTAGTATAGTAGATTGTACTGTACGATCTTCAGATAGTATTGTATGAAGAATGTTTGTCTCGGCAATTGTTTTGGACTAAACCCTGATTTTTTAACTATAAGAACCAAAATTACATTAAATTATGCATATTTCGAGGAAGAATTTTTTATAAATGGGGAAGATTATAAATCTTATTAAAAATAAAAAAGAAAATTTTGATCCCATAATAATTGGCTCATTGGAACTAAGTGGAAAAAAAAGAGGCCAATCGAGACTGAGAGACAAAGCAGGGGAAAGAGCGAGGGAGGAAGGGAGTTTGAGAAAGGGAGAGAAAGCAAGGGTACAAACAGAAAAGAGCACAGAGAGAGCAAAACAGCAGAAGAAATGCACAAGCAGGAAAAAAAAACTAAATAGCTCATGAGGGTTAATCAAGCACACACGAACTTGGATTAACCCATGAGAAATCGAGTTATGCTCAAGCAATGTTAGGTTTTTTTTTCTTTTCTAGATGAAATTTAATTAAGACTTCCTCTATTATTTTTTCAAACTAAGAAAAGCCAAGGTCTAGCTATTAATTTTGAAAGAAAATTTTTATTATATTTTGGGTACAAAGGAGAATAGACTAGAAGGATGGGATGTAGTATTTTTGCAAAAGTAGAAAGAATGTAGCATTTGAAGTAAAAATTTAGAAATTTTATTCAGGAAAATTTCAAAGAAAATTATCATTAATAATATATTGATTTCTAGAGGTTTAACAATTGAGTTGAAAACCTAAGTTTATGTAAAAGTTAGAATAAATTAGCTAAATAAAATTTATGAAATATAAGAAAATTTTAATTGTAAGTTCTATATTCATATATTATTAAAATTAATTAATAAATATATAAACTATAATTTAAATATGAGAAAAATGACCAAAATGGTCCCTTAACTCTTTAGGAGGGACCAAATAGTTGGTCCTTCGACTTTTTAAAATGAGATCATTTGATCATACAGATAAAAAATAACGATAAATTCGGATGGCAGAAGGATGCCACGAGGGTATGATCGGAATAACAAAAAAAAATAATAATAATATAACATCGAAACAATAACTCTTTTATTCTTTGAACCTCCTGTAGACGAGCATCGAAAAAAATTTTAAAATTATAACTACAAAGATTATTAATTTCTCTAATTAAATAAATGATTAATAATTTTTTTTATAAAAAATTATAATTACTTGAAAAATTATATCTAATAAATAGTTTAATTAAAATTTTTTAAAATACCCCTATTTTTAACACATTAAATCCAACATCTATTAATTTGGATGTTAGGACCCATATAATCCCATTTTAAAGAGTTTAAGGACTAAATTGATCCCTCAAAATAGTTGGGAACCATTTTTGTCCCTACCAAAGAGTTAAGGGATCATTTTGGTACTTTTCTCATTTAAATATAAATAAAAGAATAAATAAAGGAAGATTTAATGTTATGATTATAGCATGTATGGGTATCATCTTATGTTCACAACTTTATGTGCTAGTGTAGTTCAATGAGATCATCTATATGGTGCTTACAACTTGTTCGCTATATTATTGGTATCACCTTAACTTGGTACTTGGTATTTGAAACCTTAAAGGTTGGATGCATGCCCAATTCCCCTCTTTTGGTGTGGGTAGACTGAACACATCACACTATCTTTCCATGATTTATCAGATTAGTTCTAATGGTTCAAATACTGAAGATAAGCTTACTTTTTATGACAAAATTTTGATCTAAGAGTTAAAGAAACAAACATGGGACCATGGAAATAAATTGATAAAACGTAATTGTAAGAGCTAAAGTTCTAGACAAGTAAATATTGAAAATAGAGAAGGTGAACCAAACAAAACAAATAGATGGAAGGATATTGAATCCAGTGATAGAGAAAATAGCATGGATGATAAAAAAATGAAATTGATAGTAAATAAGAATATATAATTCCTAGGGTATACAGGCTAAAAATTGAAGTATATTTATTTATAAAGGCTTTAGTATTCAAAATATGATGGAAATAAAACTTTATTCGGCTCATAATATTTTAATGTGATGGTTATTATTTTATGATTTTCAAAATTACTCCAATAAATTAAATTAAATTCATAAGTGATATAAATATTTCTTTTTTAATGTCTAACTTCACTTGGGCAATCACCTATGATGGCACCTAGCACCTCAGACATTAGGCAACCACATAATATTGGTTGTGCCTTGCAATTTTTAAAAACATTGATAACTATACAAATGGTTCTGGGGGAAAAAAAAAGAGTAACATCTCTAATTAGGTAGAGCACATTTCAGTTCACTTAAAACATCTAAAGGGAGAGACATAGTTGTTGACTTTCTAACCATTCTAATTGAAAATAACATTTCACTAAAATTATTTTATTTCTCAAATATCATTTCATCAAAATATAAATGACTTTATCATTCCTATAAACTAAGCAGAAATAATAATCTCAACTCTCACGATGATATAAACATGTAACTGTCAAAAAGTTCAAGCTCATGCATCCTTCAAGAACGAAAGATATGCATAACTCTGCACTAAATTGGAAGTTCAGTCCTATCAATTAGGTACAGTACTACCGTGTGCTTATTTTGTCATTGGCAGACTCTAATAGACCCCATGGGGACCAAAAGCAGATTAGAAGCAGAAGTATGACATACCGAAACCTTTGAGTTCTTCCTAGTGGAGGAGCGCTAGATGCTGCTGCTAATGAAACATCCTTTTGCTCTTTCTGTTTCTTTCTAACATATTGCAATTTAACGGTAGACCCTCCGCCGTTTTTACCTCTAACAAAATCACATTTTATACTGCTGGCAACACTTGAAACTGGACGAACAAAATAAACTAATTATCAATATTATATAGAGACCTCTTTAAACAAAGAAATGAAATAACAGTAATTAATTACAAACTTTGTAATTAATTAGTTGGGAAATGATATCTCTCATTGAAATCTGCATACAGACTATTGCTTAATATAAAAGACAAGTGGATTACATAACAGATTAGTTGTATAACTAATGGCTGAAATTGTTTGAGGAAGTTGCTGATCTATGGTTGTGATGAGAGCAGTACAGGGATTGTTTGAGGAAGTTTCTGATCTATGGTTGTGATGAGAGCAGTACAAGAGGTGCCTGAACCTTCTGACAGTCTGGTTAAGTGCTATAGTATTATCAGCTCCCATAGATGACTCTTGAGGAAGCATCAACTTTGGTAAAAATATCAACGACTTGGTCCAATTTGGCAACATGGTGGACAAAGATCTCATTCATCTTGATACAGCCGTGTAATGAAGTGGTTTTCAATTTCTCTATTTTTGGTGCAAACGTGAAAGACAAGAAAATTATGAAGTGTAAGTACTGGAATATTGTCACAATGCAATGGTCAAATTCCTACATCAACCAACGAAGCTAAATAAGGTTAGTTGCAACTATGGCAAGTGCTCAGTACTTAGCTTATGGAGAAAAGTGGGCTACAATATTTTGTTTCATGATAAAACAGGAGATAAGGGTAAAGCCAAGAAACGCACGGAAGCTTGTCGTAAATTTTTTAACTTGATGATCATTGGCCTAATCAAAAGCTAAAATAGGATTTGAGATGCAGTTTGCTACACTATGGATAATCCATAGGTGAGTGCTCTCTTAAGATATTTGAATAGTCTTTTAAGTAGTCAAAAATGGAGGTTGATGGCTTTCTGGATGTGTTGACACGGATGGTTGACAATAAAGAAAATATTGGAGCATGTGATGGTGATCTGTAAAAGAGAACCTACTAAGTGATGATAGAGAGAGAGGTCAGGAAAGTCAAACTATTATGAGTCCAAAAGAGAAGATTTAAGTTGAGACTATTCAGGATAGGTTTGTAGGTAGGCTATTAGGCATAGAGGAGCAAGCATAAGAAGTATTGGGATTAGTTTAGGTGGATCTCGTAGGGAGTTCGATTGACATGAGTGCCAAGGAAACAAGCAAGGTTACCCATATTGCATATGGGAAAGCAACTTTGGAGATTTTGAAAGAGGTCTGAGATGGCAATGGGGTTGTTGACAGATAGAGGATAGCGTCATCATAGATGAGAATGAATAGGTGTATTGTGTTGTGTTTGTGGATTAGAACGTTGGAACCAAGCTATGATATTAGTGAAGCTAAGTTGCTTAAGATCACCTTATAATGTGGAAAACCACTGATGAGTGCTTATTTGAGGCAGTAGAGTGTTTTCTAGAAGTGGCAAACATGATACAGATATTAGGGATATGTGAAGCCTCTTGGTTGGGCTATTTGAATCTAGCCATTCAGTTGACCATATAAGAAGGCTTTGGAGATGTTTAGTTGGGTGATGGACAAGCCATTAGTGAGAGTGGTGATGAGAATGCGAATAGTGAGCATCTTGGTTATGGGATTAAATGTTTTATTGTAGTCAAGTCCATGCACTTGTTTGTAGCCTTATAGCAAACAATGGTTCCATCAAAAATATGCTTGGTCTAACATGTCTGTTTATTAGAAAGTAAATTCTAAGCAATGGATGGAAACTTGTATCCACATACCCAACTCAAGTAAAACCTGAACTCCTAGGAAAATGCATCTCTTAATTTGGATTTTTACAATGGACGAACAGTAGGTCAGGTCAAGATGGTGGTGGTGTGAGTTAGGCTTATGATATGTTTGGATTTTAGGATCCCTGTGTGAGAGTAATTCGTAATGTAATGTCGGTTGGAGGTTTTTATGGGTTGATTGATGAAAGGAAGGGAGCTTGGAGGTGGGATAAAATAAGCCTAGAACTCTAACAAAGAGGAGTTTGAGTTGTTGGGTGAGGTGAAGACAAGTGTGTCATTCATCTAGGAAGTGTTGGAGGTTACAAGGGAGATAGATGGTTGCTGGTGCAATGGAAGAATGCCATGATATTTTGTAAGGTAAAGAGAATACAAGAGTCAATGGTGGAGGGGCTTATGAGGTGAAGGCTTATTGGTGTTGGGAGAGAATTTATGATATGGAAAATTAGCCTCATTAAACAGCATGTGAGATATGCAAGTTTTGTCAAAGATGGGGTTATGACATATTAGCCCTTTTGGAAAGAAGCATAGCCTTTATATATGCAAGATATTGACAGAAATGAGAGCTTGTACATGGAGTGATGATCAAGCCATGAGAAGCATCCACAACCAAATATTTTGAGATATGAGTAGGCAAGCTTTTTTTTTATATAGTAGTTGATATGGTGACTTCTAGTTGGTTGGGGGAGAGGGCAACTAATTTATGAGATAAGCAATTGCTATAAGTGGTTCTACCCAAAGGCGTGTGACAAATAAGCATCAAACAGGAGTCCCGACAATTTCTCTGAAATATTGGTTTTTGCATTTGGCTACCCTATTTTGTTCAAAGTGTACATACAACTTTATTGGTGATGAATAACCCATGTGCATTGTAGGTGTTTGAGGTAGAATTAAGGTACTCAGCACTACTATTAGTTCATAATTTTATAATTTAATTGAAAATTTGACAAGCAACCATATTATGAGATTGAGTCAAGATGGAGGTTTTATCAAACTTATAACGCATAGAAAACACCCAACTTTAAAGTGAATTATCATAGATAAATGAAATCCAATACTTGTATTATTATGATGAAATGGTTGGAGAAGGGCCCATTAGATCAAAGCAAAAAATTTTCAAAATGATTTTTAAATATGATATGAGAGAGAGCAAATGAGATACAATGATATTTTAATAATTTGCCATGTGTGAAGAGGTAGTTGTCCGTATAATAGGATTCCTATAAGCTAAAATAGAAGTTGTGGAGGAGGCAAGGTGCCAAATTGTTTATTCCAAAGATCATGAATTGATTGCATGGAAAGAAGGGTGAGATTGTTAGACGGAGGCTTTGTGGCATGGCCCTTAAGGGCGTGTCAATTGGTCTTCATGTCCTTTATTGTATAGCCATGAGCATCTAACAATATTGAGCAAGAATGACAATTATTTTAGGCATTAGACAGAGAGAAATTTATTAGACAAATTGGGGATACAAAGAATTTGGGTGAGTAAGAACTTCTTAGTGGGTGTAGGGAGTAGACTATGACTTATGTGAGATACGAGCAACAAGTGGCCATCGCCTAGAATAATTTGTTGTGAGCCATTGTATGCTTTGGGCTAATAAGACACACATAATTGGAGAGAAGATGAGATGTTGCTTCGATGTTAAGATACTAAAAAGCTATAGATTGTTGGGTTGAGGTGCGAGAGGGAGGATTGGCAAAGAGAACATGTGTAGACAAGAGTTGACTATTAAAATTAAGGTTTTAGCAATGCCAACACTTATCTATGATGTGATCGAACTTACGACAGATTTGACATATGAGCGTGCAATGTAGTAGTTGAGAGGTTCCTTGCGTCTAGTAGACCATAGCTGGCAAAACATTTGAGAGGATTATAGTGGGCTTGAAGCTCACATGTCACTTCAATTTATAGATTTGTTTCTTTGTTGCATAGTAGGGATAAAGGACATCTAAATTGAGAGGTTGTAGATTGACACAATCAACTTTCTTAAAAGCTAAATAGGTGAGAAGAAGATCATTGGACGTGAAAAGTATGATGTCTTTGGAATCTAAGAGTGAACCAGCAGCTGCTATGGAATAATCATAAGCTTTGATTGTTGAACGATTTTGTTTCATGACCAGAGCCAGCATGGAGATAGCTCATTTTTTAGTTGAATTATGCATAATCTATTTGTGGATTTAAGCCTTTTGACAACTCTATTCCAATTTTCAGTGAATGTGACTAAGGTGAGGAGATATGAAAGCAGTGCTAGGGAGATGACTTAATAGAATATCATTGCCAGATATTAGTCAACAAACATCCAGACGTAGTGAGGATTAGAAAGGATAGAGCCATCTTCATGGATAATTTGTTTTGATGGGCATGGGATCCATCCATGGAGACAACTTGCAAACCCATTTGTGTGAAAAATTCTAAGTAATTGAGATTGCCAATTTGCCACATTGGATATTTTTTGGGATAATTTTAATGTTCATGATGTGCATGATGTTGGCCCTAAAAAATAGGGTGGTCAATTCAGATTGATTGGTTGAGTTTGGCTCTGACACAAAGTTGACATGACTCGAATATTCTTGACCATAATTCGACCCACATATTATTTGGTAAAAAAAATTTACCTCAAACTTGAATTGACCCAATTTGATCGAACTCAAACCCAACCCGTTTAATCAATTTATTATAAGCATCATGTTGTTTTTTGAATCAAGTCACCTCATTTAATCCAAAGTGGCCCATTTAACCCAAACACGACCCATTTAAACGAACCGACCCGTAACCTATGATGCACCGACACTCCTCAAAGAAGCGTGCAGTGTCCACACGACATGCATCTAAAACTCCTCAGACACGTGTCGGACACATCTAAAACATGTCCAATTAAAAATAATATTAAATACAAATTAGACACTTGTGTCGGACAAGCGTATCTTAAATATTTTATGAATTCTTTTTAAATATAATTTCTTGTATTTAAAATTTTTACTTATTTAAAATATAAAAACTAAATTTCTTATTTCCTATCCACAACACCAAACCAATCGTCCGCATTTAATACCCTATTTGTCGAATATTCTCATTTTCATTTCTCTTTGGCAGTGAAGGTATTTTCATTTACTCTTTCGATAACTGATAAACGACATAGACGCCCGACTCTCAATATCCTAATATTAATTATTTTAAGCAAACATTCTAGTTAAATGATTTATTATTTCTAAATTATTTTTAAATTTTAATTTATTAATTTTTATGAACTATTTTTAAAATATAAAAATTATAGTACCGTGTCCAACCCATGTATGTGTCCTATATTTTCAATAAATTATGCGTCCCATGCTTTGCTGTTTTATTCATCTACTAGTGAAATACAAGAGTTTTTCTTCGTTTTTTCTCAGATTTATCGTGTAACTCCTGTTTTTTCTCTGTTTTTGGGCTGTTTCCTGCTGTGGACAGCAATAAATCTGCTGGAGTTTACTGATTTTGGCTAGGAACACTTGTGAATCCAAGTGTTTCCTATCAGGAAACTGGTTAGGCTAGGATAAAGAAGCTGGTTGCTGCACTAAAGGAGGTGTCAGTGGGATGTAACTCGGTCACCATCAATAACAGTAATAAATTACATTGTAAAAGAAGAAGATTAAGCTGGGAAATGATAATTACATATTCACATTGAAACCTGCATACAGGTATACAGTAGCTTTATATAGAAGGAGATAGTATTACATGACAGATTCCTTGTGAAATTAATGGCAAGATTGTTTGCGGAAACTGCTGATTTATGATTGTCATGAGAGCAGTATAGGAGATGCATGCATCTTCTAATTGTGTGGTTGTGCGCTGTAGCTTTATCACAATGATTAGTATCCATAAATATAGCTTAAAGCAGAAAGCCTAACTTAAAAGTTTTATGGTACTATCTACAAATGACATGAATACCCCTATCAATTGTAAAGCAGCAAGTAAAAGATATTCAGACCAGCGATCAAATTCATTTAACGCTTGAAACATTGTTACTGTTTATGGAAGAGTGGAAACGTGAAAACAGGCCAATGATGCTAAAGCTCTAAAACAACTACCTATAGATTCAACACAAGGACACATTATCCGTCAAACTAAATAGCCTGCAGAACTATAAATACCAGTGTAATTTTGGGAATCAAGAAACAGGATACCAGCCATTGCCAATGTGAAAATCTGCGGCACCAGCATCCAACTAGTTGAATATTAGACTAACCCAAAATCCAAAGAAATTTCCAATCGCGCAATTATCAAAATTACTAATCCAAGAGAAGCATGATTAAAACTTGCAAGAAGTTACAGTTCACTCTATAAAACAAGAGAATCATATCATGCAACTAAAAGTTAGAAAATCGTAATTATCATCATCAATTACTTTATCGCCCTAAAAAAACAAAATCTCACAATCCCAGGACTCAATGTAGACGACGAAACAAAGGAGGTATAGATGATCACCCGAAATCGTGGAAGTTCCCTTGGCTACAAAAGTTGATTTGGGAGATTCGCTAACTCCAGTGTTCTTGGGGTCGCTAGATCCAGCACTGGAGACAGAAGATTTGGAGCTGAAGTACTCTGGGCTTACCTTGGGTTTGGGTTCAGGTTTCCTAGACTCGGTCGCAGCAGAAAATCGAAGAGATGAAGTGTTTGTGAGATCGGCCAAGGGCTTTCTCCTCGGCCGCAAACTCATGCCCTCAGAACTGTTAGCTTGCATCGGTATGAACAGGTTATTGAGCAATTAAGCCCTTTAAATGCTCGTTTTATGAGAGAAGGCGATCATTTGGCGGGAGTATAGATTCTGGAAGAAGCATCACTTAGCGCTGCACATCTAGAAATTACCATTTGTTGTACATCTCGACCGTCTGTTTCGTATATTTGAGTGCCATGTGCTCATTAGGAGCTCATCTTATATTTTGTATTAAAAAATTAAATAAATAATTACATGTAAAATACCCAAAAGTAAAATAATTAATCTCACAATCAAAATCATAAATCATCCAAAGATTATATATATATATATAATCAAATGATTTTATTTTAATTATTTTGTATATTTTAAATAAATTCATGTTTTTTTTTTCTCATTCACCTATTCCAAAAAGTATCCCATTTCTTGAAATTTGAAATGCTCATAATTATTCAATACTTAAAAATATCATGTCTTTAACATACAACCACATTAGGGATTTATCATATGGAAATATATACTTGCTCTTGGTACATCATTAAAAAATTTATTACTTGAACACAAATCTAAATAAGTACAAATCAACCTTTGAATTATAGTTGGAAATTTCATGAGATTATTTATGGGATCAAAAAATCCCCAAATCATGCATGGTTTTAAACAAATCAAGCATTTTGATGAGACAAATCTAACAAGCTTAAAATCATTCAATTCTGATTTTATTAAGGAACTTAAATGATAAAAGAATAATCTATGATCAAAGGAATTAACATAGAACATTTGATCAAGTAATTAGAGATTTCGTCTTAAATTTTTAAAATATCACTAAAAAAATTATAAATAAACTCTCATTTTTATATAAAAGGGACATGAAATTGACAAAAACTTAGAGATCTGAAGAACACCAAAGCTATGCCTGACATTTGACATTGACAATCATAGCCATGAACAATTGTCACCCAAGTACTATCACCTAACCCAATTGTCATTGTTTTATCACCAACACTTAATTATCATCGTCAAGCCATATTTACCCGGTGATTATCTCTTGATCACTATCATCACCCTTCACGATTTCTTTATCATTTTCTACGATAGTCACAAGAGATTAAAATAGTGTTACATGCTTTGTAATCATATTTTCTTTAATTCAATGAAAGAGTGGACTTATGTAATCTTACTTATATTATGGACTATTTCATTTGGGGCATCTTCCTTAATTTTTAATCATTTCAGATTTTGCCACATAAATTTTTTTTCTATCTTCTAAAATTTTTGTATATATGTATGTGAGGTCTTCATAAAAAATTAAAACATAAAACTCTCTCTACCCCATGAATATTCTAGCATATAATATGTTCGTGCAATATGTGAAATTTTTTAAACATTCTAAAAATACTCATTGATTTATAATAATAATAATAATACACACAACATTAGAGTCTGTTGCTCTACTCATCAATATGAAAAAGAGGCCATCAACCAAGGACATCGTTACCATATAATTGAAGCTCTCGTAGCATGTTCCTAGAGGATTGCATGCATAAGATGAAGGAAATCATTCCACTCTTAAAAAATATTGGCATTATAGCTAAATAGATTTTATCATAAAAAAAAAAAAATACTTAATAGGTTTGACCAATTTGAAGGCACTCATGCGACGGATCCTTGCCATCATGTAAAAATTTCTTCTCTACCATAACCTATTCTAAATATTTTCTACTCAATCAATATAAGCAATGAAATTTGGAAGCCAATGATCAATAACCATATTGGCTGTCAACATGTTTTATCACTCCTATACTCATGTCAAGTATAATACAGTAGATTTGATATGAATCTTTGCATGTCAATAAATTATACTTTACTTTAATCTATAGGCCATTTCTTATTTTATATGTCATCTTATGTATATTAATCTACTAGTCATATTAAACAAATGCACATACATTTTATGCATGTTAAAAAAAATCATATATATATATATATATATATATACCTTATACGGTTCCTTAATTAGGCTTTCAAAATAGTTTTTGAATGTCATATTTTCAGATAAAATAATTATTATTCCTATGGAAATTGCATTTGACACATTTAAGAGTGCACATGTTCGATAAATCCATTTTATCCTCATTAGGCTTTTCATTTGGCAATAATTTGGAGATGAATTCTCGTACTTTTTTTTATTTTATTTTTATGCCGTCAATGATTAAAGCTTTAGCAGAAATTGATGCTTCTTAAAGCTATTCATATGTATTTGGATTGTTCCTCAATTAATGTTCAAGCTTCTATTCTCATCACTTTTTTCTTGGGCATTAGATCCAAGTTTATAAGAAATTTGTCAAGAAGAGCATCTAACATCAATAACCAAATATAACTATTTTTGAAGAATGTTGCTCACTTTAAATATATAACATACCATAGGTTTAACTCAACATTAAGGTGACACTATTTTCTTCCTCTTTTATTATGGATCTATCTCCAAGTATACATATTGCATAGTCTGATATCCAGAATGACTCAAATTCTTACAACCCAAACTGATAAGACCCACATAATATATTGCAACTCATGAATTAAGATTGAGATTGTGATTTTTTATGATAGCAAAATATTATTATTTTGTTAATTTTATTATTTTTTCTAACATATATTCGATATTTTTGTTCATTTTTTTTTTGTGTACTAATATTTTAGGAAAATTATACTCCAGATTGCTAAAGACTTCAAGGCAAAGTTGATTAGCATTTCATGTAACAAAGTCTATAAATCTTTATATTTTAATTTTCTTGAGTCTGAGATGAGAGAGTGTGATTGTAATTCGATAACCGTGCACACACACACTGAGTGAGAGTTAAAACTTAAAATTTTAAAACAAATCATACAATATGAGTAGTTTTAAATTTGTAAGTTTTAACTCTCTCCCCTTGTGTGTGTGCACAGTTATCCAATTACAATCAGACTCTCTCATATTTGACTCAAGTAAATAAAAAAAAAATAAAGATTTACATATTTTATTATATGAAAACCTATTCTACTCTATCTTGAAATCTTCAATAGTTTGGAGTATGATTTCTCTGAAATATTAGTTCAAATAAAAATAAATAGAAATATCCAGTACATGCTGTGAGAAATAATAAAATTAATAGAATAATAATATTTTACTGTCATAAAAAATCACAATCACAATCTTGATTCATGAATTACAACAATCTCTCCATTTTTTATGATGACAAAAATAATTATTATTTGAATTACAAATAAAAGTTTTTTTCTCTAAACTTCCCCTCAATGAATTAAAAATAAAAAACATGGGAAATTAGAAAAATGATCACAATAAAAACACATGGAAAACATACACAAGAATACAAACACAATTCAAACTAAATGAATAAAAAAAATGAAACAAAATAATACAAATACAATTCAAGTAAAATAAATATAAACTTCCTCCTGCTTTTGACATCTACAAAAAGAGAGCAAAAGAAAAAAAAAATGGAGAAATCCTCTAAGAAATGTAAGATGCTATGGAAAAATCAAAAAATTGAAAAAAAAAATTCTTAACATCTTGTAAAAACAACATTAAATTCCTGATGCAACAACTCATAGTTTAAATTAAAGAACAAATAAGTTAAGAATAGTTGAATGGGTTCAATGTTCATTCTAGAAAGCATAAATACTAAATATAATAATAATCGAAAAATAAATTAAATAGAAATCTTATAGTTTTAAATTCAATAGTTGAATTTATCGTTTGATGTATAAATTTTTCTAAGAATTAAAGATATAGAGGAAAAAACTAAATATAGTGTGGGCTCATTTTATGCCTCTTTATCAATAAGAATTATTTGAGTGGCAAATATTACGCATCTTTTGATTTTGAAGTTTATTTGATGAACATTGCACATATTTTCATGTTGGCTCATTTTGTGCCTCTTTTTAAATTTAGCATACTTTGTGCATCTTTTGACATTTCATTCTTCCCACAACATAACTCAGTAAATCTTAGCTTGTGTGATTATATTCAAAATAAAAGAAAATTTTTTTCTCATATAAGAAAGATTAATCCACAAAACAAAACCCTATTGTTAAGAATAAAATTAACACATTTAATAAGGAAATAAAAGAAAAACAAGTAATTAATTTTGCAACAATTATAACTATAAGAAATAGATCCATTTGAATATTAAGATGATCTTCTTATCTAAATCTAATTTGTAAATTGATTTAAAGTATGAGAAAAAAATTTGTGAGGAAATTAAAATGTAGTGCAAAATATTTTTAATTTTTTTCTTAGATCAACACTAGTAATTTGAATAATAGAAACTTAAAGATAATTTAAGAGGATTAATATCAACACAAAACAAGCATTTTGTTAAACATATAATACATATACAACTAATATAGAAATACAAACATCTAAATGCCATCACATGAAAATTAAAAAAAACAAAACATACATCAACTACAACAAAAAATAAAAACTAAAATGTTTGAGGATATTGATCTGGCATGGTAAAGTAGCTATTGATGGTAGCTACTTGAGTATTGATTGAATCAAACTATCCTCTAACCTAACCCATATCTTCATTGTATCTGGCTTCCTACTCGTTTAAACGAGTCTCAATACGATCAAATTATTGATCAAAATGAGACCCAATTCGATCTAATCGCTGAAATATTTCTTGATAAAAATGATTCTCAGGTCTAAGAGTATGTGCTTCTTCTTCTTCAATTTCATCTCCCTCATCCCTTAATCCCGGTGAAAAAGAGTATGAAAGGAAGCATCAGTGAAATATATTAGAAGATTATTTGGAGGGTCAATATGAATCAAATTATATTTCTTTTCAAGGATATAGACAATCAAGTATCCTAAAGCTACATTCTTCTTTCTTTTAGTGGTAGGAGGTCTAATGTCAGTAAGATTATTGATGTAATCTAGAATCAACTGTGATTTATCAATTGCAGTGTTTGACATTATAAGATATGTGATTATTAAAAGCAAAGGAGTGAAGTTGATTCGATCACCAGCTTTACGATTAATGGATGTTCTTAAAACATGCTAGATGATCCTGACATTTTGATTCTAAGTGTGTGCACGAGATATGTGATAGACTGAAGGTACACCTCTAAGGGTTTGATTTATGGTAAACCAGTAAAAATCATCTCTTGAAGTC